ATAAGAATTTGCTGGACAAACGAAGTGAAGACCAAGGTCCATCCAGTTTGCCTCCCACTATCCCGGCAGTCGCTTGACATGTTGTGTCCCAAACTATACACTGTAAATACTGAGTATTGGATATTCAGTCCTCAGTTCAGAGCCTGATGTAACTCTGCCACCAACACCATCACTTGCTTTCAATCCCCATTGTCACTGAGACATTTTATGCTTAAACCAGGATTTCTCCAGTCCACTTATCTTACGAAATTAAAAAAAAGTGACCTATTTGCAGATATTCGTACCTTAACCTATTTAATCGCTCAGTCTGGAGCTGGATCTAAATTAAAACACTTTATTATGCAGTACAACACATCATGAGCAAAGGATGAGTGACATGCTGAACTGACAGTATGCAGCTCCCAGAGCAAAGAAAACATGAATAATTGGGCAGCGTTTTGTGCCTGGATCAGGGTAATACTTGAAGTGTTTTGTCTGCATCAGGAGTTTTTACTTAATGGAAGCGAACAGAAAGGTGTAGGTTCCATGAGCATGCTGGACAGTTGGGAATGAATGGGGTGAGGTTTAAGCCACCAGAAATGGGAGCAGGTTTGATGGATTGGAGTTTTATTCGTCTCGTTTACTGTACAGTATAAATACTGGTGAACAGTTTAAGAATGCAGCTCTACACTTAAGTATCACTCAGAGAGGCTGGAGACGATTAGGTGTACTATTTGCAGCAAAAGTGGCTATAACCTTGGTTGGAGCTTTCTTAGATAGCCATTAAGAGATGCATTAAAAGCAAAAGACCCATAAGTACATAAGGAAAGTTATGGATGTGAAATAGCTAGTCAGCTCACTGAACCTAGTAGATTATTCCAAACATTTGTGGAGGCTTGCAGCTCAGTGGTGAGAGTGCTCGCCTCGCAAACGAGAGACCTGGGTTCGATTCTCGGCAGGGCGTTTGAAACCTTGGGCAAGTTAGCTTGCTCCACACGCTTGTTTACCCTGCAGTAAATAGGAGCCTGGTTGTTAATCGATTGGTGGATCACTTTTCCAGGGATAATAATTCCTTCAAAAATAATAAGAATAAATTGGTCATTCAAATTCACGACTGTTTGTGAGGCGCTGCTGTCCGCAATTGGCTGCCGCGTTTCGCCCACCCACCAAAGATACAGTCAATTCACTTTACGGTATATTCTGTGAAGCGCTTTGAGTCGTTTAGAAGACATGATAAGGCGTTGTATCGAATGCAAGAATTATGATTATTGCAATGCTTCAGAACAGTATGTGAGCACAAGATGGTCCTTTCGAAAGAAAAGATCAGTGATGGAAACATTTTATAATAATTATCTTTGCATTTGATTTAGTGCCTTATCACAGCATTGAGATGTTCTCAAAGTGCTTCACAGAATATACTGTGAACTGGATTGACTGTATATCTTTTGTGGGTGAAATGCGGCAGCCAATTGCACACAGCATTGTCCTACAAACAGTCGTGACCAATGTTCGGGGACAGTGTTATTACCCCTGGAAAAGCGATCTGCCAACCGTCTAACAACCAGGTTTCTACTTACTGCTAAGAAAACAGAGGTGTGTGGAGTAAGGAAACTTGCCTAAGGTTTCTCACTGTCCAGGAATCGAACCCGGGTCCTCTCGCTTGTGAGGCGAGTGCTGTAACCAATACGATACGGAATTCCACGATGATAGGTAGATGCCATTTTAATTATTTGTTTTCTCCCATCAATTATCTCCCCTCGTCACCTGAAAACTCTAGCTCGTGCTGACCAAACAGTTAAATCTTACCTTGTATAGTAAATAATAATCCCTGCATTTGATATAGGGCTTTCACGTCGGGAGGACATCTCAAAGCGCTTCACCAGACGTGCTGTAAAGTGTAGTGACTGCGTATTGGCAGGTGAACGCAGCAGCCAATTTCAGCGCAGCAATATATGCTACAAACAGCCGTGAAGTGAATGACCAATTTTATCTGAGGGAATTAGGAGCGGGCGGGGTGGGACGGGGGAAAACGCTTGTGTAAAAGATTGTCAATCACTAAATTTCACAAGGGCTGCCTTGAAAAACCAAGACTTGGAATCGAGAATGATATTCAAAAGCAGTGCTGCTCTCTGAGTAAAACATCGTCATTTCTGCACCGTTCAGCTTCATATTGCTGCGTAAGAAAGGATTTTTTTTTCAGATCATGCATAACCTACATATTTTTGGAAGCTGCAAAAAGGCAGCTTATCTCCAGTGGCAGAGCATCAATCTCCCAGGCAGAGGCGAAGGAATGCACGAGTGAACGCCAGGGTGGATTGACATTAAAACACAAATCCGTTAGCCAGGAGCGATCAGGTTACGCCAAGCCCTAGGTGATGGCCAATGGAACCTGGTGAGTTGCTCGAACTCCAGGTGCTGGGAAAGGATGAGCCGAGGGAACAGTTTTGAAGTCCACGAGTTATTATTATTAATAATAATAATTAACATTCGCCCACAGTCAATCCAATTTACAGGATATCCTGTATTAACAATAATAATCGTTGCCTTTGATATAGTGGCTTACCATGTCATCGAGACGTCTCAAAGCGTTCCACAGGATATACGGTAAAGTGGATTGACTGTGTATTTTGGGGGCGAAATGCAGCAGCCAATTTGCGCACAGCAGCGTCCCCACAAACAGCCATGGTCTGAGTGACCGATTTTATTCTGGGGGGATTGTTGGCCAAGACACTGGGATTAACGCTCTTCTCTTTTCGAAAAGTGCGAATCGATCTCTAACGTCCATCTGAAGGGAGCTCGATTTTATAGCTCATCTGAAGCACGGCACCTCTGACAATGCAGCACACCCCCAGCACAGCATTGGAGAGTCAGCAGAGACAAAATGGGTTCCACGTCCTGGAGTGTGGCTTGAAAGCACAACCTTGTTGTGGCGAGTGTGCTACCAACTAGGCCAGGCTGACACATTGAGGCTGCAGGGAGAAGGATGCACCTGTGTCACAGAGCCAAGCGGTCACTGAGCAAAGCTTCACAGTAACAGTAACACCGACCTCAAAAGAAGCAGATGACAGAATAAACCACTGACTAATAATAATAATCCTTGCATTTGATACAGAGCCTTTTTACGACTTTGAGACGTCTCAAAGCGCTTCACAGCATACACTGTAAAGTGAATTGACTGTATACTTTGTGGGCGAAACACGGCAGCCAATTGTGCACAGCAGTGTCCCACAAACAGTCGTGGATAGAAGTGACCAATTTATTATTCTTTTAAGAAATTATTACCCCCGGAAAAGCGATCCGCCAATCGACTAACAAGCGGGTTCCTATTTACTGCTAGGTAAACAGAGGCGTGTGGATCTACAGTATAGCCTATCCCAAACTTTTGGATGAAATGGGACGTCTGAACAATCCACACGTCCTCCCTCCAAAGCAGCTGAGTCAAGTGACTCTCCCTCTGGACAAACCAAACTCTAGATATCCCGGTCGACGCCCCCAAACTAGGCCTGTCCATTGCTCAAAGCAGTAACACCCTCAAAGGGGTTTGATGACGTTACAAACTACAAGAGAGATGAGCCTCGTAAAAAAAGCTGATTTTTCTCCTGACACTCGTGTCTCTGTGGGTGAGTGGCTTGGCCTCAGACCTCCGTTCGACGAGCTGCTTCCAGGAACAACTAACCACTCAGGCAGGATAACTGAGTTTGATTTAGCACAGACACAGGCTCTGCTAAACATGACTCCGACCATGAAATGAGCAGAGAACAGGGTCCAATAGACTCAATATCACTGAATGGTGCCACTGGAACATTCACTGCTACTGTGCCTGAGGCATCATTCATTATTTACAACGTACTTTACATTAAAGCCTTGTTTACTTTTTCAGAACCATTTAGGTGTTAGTCGGACTCAGTGGATAAAACTCTGGCCTCAGGGTCAGCAGATTGTGATATTGGGCTCCACACTAGGTCTTGAGCTCCTAAATCGGGCCTTCAGCTTCCCTGCCTCCCACCTCTTGGAACTCCATCCCATAGTCCCTTCGCCTTGCTCCCCCCCTCACCTCCTTCAAGGCCCGTCTCAAGACCCTCCTCTTCGAATGTGCCTTCGGCCAACCTCCTATCCCTACCCTCCTTGCCCTCCACCCCTCCTGATCCCGACTCCCTGCTCGGGTCCAAATCCCTTACTGTCCAGCGCCTTGTGACATCCTCCCGACATGAAAATGTAATTTGTTGTTGTTGATGATGATACTCCGGGGCAGGACTAAGAAAGCAAGCTGTTGTAGAAGGAGCCAACCTTTTCCGAGTGAGACAATCCAAGATGTCATTCGAAGGCAGGTAGCGTTCCCGGTGTGTGCCCTTGGCTCAAATTCATGACAACCAACAGCTTAACTGGATCCTCATCTCTCCTCTGTGCGTGGAACAATCCTGGGGAAGCTCACTACTCTGCCGCACTTGCCCTCACGGCACGGATTGCCACATTTCACTGTCGCTCAACCAGCGAAACGCTGAGCGCAATGTTTTGAGAAGTTATAATAAATAATCCTCGCATTTGATACAGAGCCTCATCACACCGTTTGAGATTTCTCAAAGCGCTTCACAGAATATACCGTAAAGTGAATTGGCTGCATATTTGGTGGGCAAAACGTGGCAGCCAATGACACACAGCAGCGTCCCACAAACAGTTGTGGATTGAGTGGCCAAATTAAAGTATTCTGGGAAGAGTTGGTATTTAGCGCAAGTAGCCCAGAGTACAACGGGAGAGTGAGGAGGCAGCTGATGGGAAGAACTTCATAAATACATAAAATACTCTTCTCCTGATGAATGACACTTCTGTATCCACCAGAACTAATCATGTCCTCAGTGACACACAAATTATTTCTATAGAAGGTGACCTATGATAAGTATTGACATGCTACTTTGCAACTTCTATAAGCGTCAAGTCTTACTGTGGGAGGGGAGAACATTTTGTGAAAGGATTGTGCAGGTAATAATAATAATAATAATAATTATATTCATAATAGTACTCACACAATGGCATTTATTGGCTTCTCAATGCGAGGAGACGTACATCCCAGTATCTCGCCTGGCGACAGTGGCTTACACTGCGGGATGCAGATGTCATATTCCCCGCGCAGTTCCTGGCTGGCAGACTGGGTGCAGACACAGGTAAGAGCAGAGTCAGTAACATGCAGTGAGAAAGGACACACATTGACAGATTGCCAACGAAAAGAAACATAAATAGAGTCCAACCTTGTTTTGTTCTTATGCACTCCGAAAAGCAGGAAAGGACAGTCACGCAAGAGTTCTACAGCTCCCACGGACAACATGACTAGATTCCATAATTTAAAACCAATTAAACAGCAAGGTCATGTCTTTGTATCATCCCCCAGTAGTGTCTTGTTTAATGATTATTAAAATGAAATACTCAGGCAGTGTTTTCCTTAAACCTTGTGCATGTGCGTGGAACTTGCTTAGTTTTCAACCCATCCACAGGGACTGTACATCCCCAGGATCGAATGGAAAAAGTCAACAGGTTCTGAGAGAGAAGTCTGGGCTGTGTGTGGAGTTTTCTGTGTAGTTTTAGTGTGTTGTAAGTTGATCTGTATTCCCTTGCGTTTAGAAGGTTGAGGGATGATCCAATTGAGGTGTTGAAAATAGTAATGGGATTCGATAGGGTAGCTACAGAGAAACTATTTCCTCTGGTGGGTGGGGGAATCCAGAACAAGAGGGACATCATCTTAAAATTAGAGCTAAGCCATTTAGGAGTGAAAGTAAGAGGCAGTTTTTCATTGAAATAGTGGAAATCTGTAACTCTCTCCCCCAAAAGGCTGTGGATGTTGGATCCATTCACATCTTCAAGACTGAGGTGGATAAAATTTTACGAGGTCGGGGTATCAAGGGATATGGAGCAAAGGCGGGTAATTAGAGTTGAGATACAGATCAGCCACGATCTAATAGAATGGCGGAACAGACTCGAGAGGCTGAATGTTCTCCTCCTGTTTCTATGTAACTGATCTGGGAACGCTTGGTGATGGTACCAGATGACCAAAGTGGGGGAAGTGTTGCCATCCCAACGCTAGATAACGTCCCTCACCTCAATAAGCTCAAGACTCACAGAAAATAAATACACATTGGCTACTTCTGCATGCAACTGGCGCACATTGATAAAGAGAACACCTTTCAGTGATGGGATAAACGCCAATTATCAGACGGCAAATAAAGTGGAAAAATAATGGACTTCACGGAGCAGTAAGGTAAAGCAGTTGATAAATGCACAGAAAATCGGCAAAAGAATTTGGGAAATATTCATTCCTCGCTTCCAGTTATCTACTCAATAAGGTCAATTCAAACCAGTTGAGACAATCTATCAGAATGTCATTTAGTGAAGCGCTGGAGTCTAGGGCCTGGTGCTGAAAGGCTGCCTCAAATGCCAGCCCAGCCCTGTGACATTTCAAAAGAGTTTACTCAGAGCGCTGGAGATAATGGAAGAAAATTGATCACAATTATCACACACGATTGGAGCACCATTACTGCACTGTGACGAAAATAGAGGCCCCATTTGTAATGCTTTCAAAGGGGAAAACAAATAGAGGCCAGGCCTAACTTTTTATTGGCAGCTTGCCTACATCGCACTTACCAAAGCCTGAGATCAGATAGGCATTCTGCATCACACTCGACCCCCACCCACCCACCCACCTCACTCTTCCCAGTTTGCTTTCATTAAAGCCGTTTCTCCAAGATACAATTCAGCAGGAAATAAATAGTACTTAATCCTTGGATTTCATATAGCGCCTTGTCACGTTGCTGAGACCTCTCAAAGCGCTTCACAGAATATATAATGAAAATATATATAGTGAAAATATAGTGAGAATAAAGTGAATCGACTGTAAAATGTGGGATTGCCGCAATAAAATAAAATAAAATAAGTCTAACACTCCCATTGCTGTAGTGCTTTTCACGGCAAGAGGAAGTCTCAAAGTCTTCACAGGAATTACTGTGACTGTGTATTTATAGGCGAATTCGGCAGCCAATTTTATGCAAGCTATGTCCCACAACCAGCCGTGAAATGAATGGCCAAATTTTATCTGGTGCATTGTTGGGTGTCAGGGTGTCAGGACTTGAACCACATACACCACATACATCCTGTGAAGCGCTTTGAGACCTCTCAACGACGTGATTAGGCCGCTACATCTAATGCAAGGATTATTATAAACCACGGCAGCATATGGTTCGACTTGCTTCATGTTATCGGGGAACATCATTCTGTGCACAGAAATCAGTACTGTGGAAGCCGTCTATGCATTGTAGAATACTGTGAAGCTGTGTGATTATACAGGCGAGGGCAAACTGAATGCACCATTACATAAGGGAGGGTGTCAGTGGGGGCTACAAACTCCGCAGGACGGTTGTCAACTGGGTATTTTGGTGACCAATTATTGAAACAATTAATTAAATATTCAGATACATTAAACTCTTGCATAATGGCACCATTTCAGCTCTAACCAGTGTTCGACTGCAAAGTCAGCTAATGTGTTAATGTCATGCTGAATGAACCCAATCTTAGGCCATTTGCATTTTTTCATCCCAAGGACGAGATCACACATTCCTGGCTAATAACTAAAGTAAGCACACATCTCTGTGTTTGGCTGGTTTCAGGCAATGATTAATTTTTTCTGCTGCAGCTATTTTGCTCTAATTGAGGTGACGGATGTGATTGTTGAGGATTCAAACATATACAAACACACCCTTCTTCAACACACACTCTCTATGGTAACTAGCGGCTGAATCCGGGACTCCCAGATCAGGCACAACATATTTGTAATGGCAGAGTAAAGCTCCCTCCGCAATGCTGCTTTAACTCAAGAGGCCGGCTCACTGTATCAGTCTTGTTATTTTCGTTGCCGCTCTTTAAATTTGCCTCCTCTCCCTGTGGAAAGAAGCGATCATCAGTGGGGTGGAATTCCACAGGCATCAGCTGCCTCGCTCTTTAAGATCAGTGAGAGTAGCACAGTGTAGTCCTGTAGCTCAGTGGTTAGAGCACTCGCCTCGCAAGCAAGAGGACCTGGGTTCGATTCCCCAGGCAAGGCGAAATGTTAGGCAAGTTTCCTTACTCCTCGCGCCTCTGTTTACCTGGCAGTAAGTAGGAACCCAGTTGTTAGTGGATCGGTTGATCGCTTTTCCGGGGGTAATAATCCCTCCAAAAAAATATAAAATAAAAATAATAATTTGGTCACTCAATCCACGACTGTTTGTGGAACTTTGCTGTGTGCAATTGGCTGCTGCGTTTCGCCCACAAAAATACACAGTCACTACACTTTACAGTATATTCTGTGAAGCACTTTGAGATGTCTCGAAGACGTGATAAGGCGCTGTATCAAATGCGAGGATTATTATTATTGTCAGGAATCAATCGCTGCAGCTTCCTGGTTGGTACATTCTCAGAGGCTCTTACCTGTAGGGCAGCCACAAACTGGATGGTGCTGACGAGGGCGAATGGCGAGCCTTTCGGGAAGTTGAACCTGATGGTATCCAGGAAGTGCACTGTGTCGATCTTGATGTCAACAAATACGTACAACATCTTGATCCCCGCTGTGGCATCAATGGGAACTGAGAGCAAAAAAAAAACGCAGAGAAAAATGCTTCAGAAAATCCGACAAGCTCACGCTCTGGCGAAGATCCAGTCGCCACCTCACATTGGATCCAGCGCCTTGGGACGCCCTCCCGACGTAAAAGGCGCTACACAAATGCAAGCGCTCTGAGATGCCGTCCAGCGTGAAGGTGAAATAAAATTAATACAAGTAGTTGCTGTCATTTGGTGTTGTTGATTCTGAACTCACGTCTTTGTGACTTTCTTTGTTTTATGGAGACTACCGTGACTCAACTGGTAAAAGCAACAATCTCCTTACATTGTGCTTATTATGGGACATGTCATTATAAACCAGCAAGAAAAGAGATGTCTATTTCCAGCGATGGACACACGAGAGCATCTCCTCGCAATGAAACGCCTCAACCAAAAGCCCTTCACGGAATGAGTTTCTTTGACATCTTATGATGCGTGGGCAAACACGGCAACTAATCAGCACCAAAAACGCTCCAAAATCAGCTTGGAGATGAAAAATGGCCAATCAATCTATTTCACTGGCCATCCCGTTGAGGTAGAGATATTTTTGATGTCTGTCTAAGCCATTACAAAAGGCAGACAGGACTTTGGTTTAACATCTCATCCCTGGTATGGCAGCTCCAACAATGCAAAAACATTTTTTTTTGGGATCAGCTGTTGTCTGGCACATTCAGAAACCCACTGTCAGGCTTGAGGATCTAAACCAGACAAAGTTCCACATATGTATGCCCCCCAGCCGTGGAAATTTCCCTGTCTGGAATGGAATGAGCACTTTCTCCCTGCAGGGACTCATCCTGCTTACCTAATTCCAAAGAATATTACGTACAGATTGGCCAAAGACAAGGATTGGGGACCCCAGAGTATGCATTATAGTATATTATAGGATATTAACCAGCTAAAACCATGTAGTTTTCTATTGAAAGCACTGCCTGGCAAGCTTCCCGTTGCTCATTGCCTGTAGATTTGACGGGAGCTGACTGAGAAGAATATCTGCTCCCAGGAGTCTGCAACTCCTGCCGATGAGCCAAGCTGCTCTGTCATCGGTGGTACCTTGGAGTATTGTGGACTTGCTTAGGAACCAGACTACCAAGACTGGCAACGAGGGCTGGCTCGATTCCAACACGCCGTTGTCAGGCATGTCATCTTGGAGCCAGTTCAGCTCCAAGGAGACCCAGCTTACCATCCAGCCCTTCCCTAAGGAGGATAGATACAGTGTGTACCGCAAAGATTATTATTACTTGATAGAGCGCCTTATCACACCTTCGAGACATCTTTTCACACTGTTAAGTAAACTATTTTGTGGGTGAAACGCGGCAGCCAATTGCGCACAGCAGCGTCCCACAAACAGTCGTGGATTGAGTGACCAAATCATTACTCTTCTTATTTTTTTCTTTGAAGTGATTATACCGTATCCTTCACCCTTTACTTGGCGTGTTGCAAGAGATCAGGGGCTGCTCCCAGAGCAATGCCTCGGCACCTTGAAGAAAAATGCCAGTGACATTTATAAACAACAAGCTTCGATGCCGAGCTGAGAACCTCCAAGGAAATGATTCAGGGAGATACAGAAGAAAGACTGCGACTCGGAAATCCATGCAGCTCTATTAAATAAATGCGTGTGGCCGCCTGACCTTTGCAATTCAATATTTTTTTTTGTTAATGGTCTGTGAAGAAAAATATTTAAGAAGTAATTGCTTGCGCTTTACTTTCAAAAAATGAAAAATTCAACCAACTGGTTGAACTGACACTGAATGGACGGCAGATTTAACGACTTTTTTTTGAAAAAGATGCATTTTTATTTGCAAACTGAAGAGAGAACAATGAATTTCTGGGATGGATTACAGGCAGGAAACTAACTCAGGGCTTCGGGTGGTTTAAACATAACAGATATCTAGAAGCAGGTTGGAATCTAACAGATAATAATAATTCTTACACCTTTCACGTCGGGAGCTCTTCTCAAAAGCGCTTCACAGTATATTCTCCATAGTATATTCCATGAAGCGCTTTGAGACGGCTCAATGGCGTGATAAAGCGCTATATCAAATGCCAGGATTATTATTATTATCAGACTATAATGGAGTGTCAGGTGTTTATAACTCGGGCTTCTGATTTTCTTTTTTTTAGCAATTTGAGTGTTTATAAATCGGGGGCGGGGGGCAGGGGGGGATTTAGGTTTTCGTTACCATACTGAGAAGATATCTCTACACACACAGAGGTGAGAGAGAGAGAGGATAACATTTATGGGATAGACACCAAATTCTTTTTTTTGTACCGGGAATTTTTTAATCGCAGTTTATTGGTTAAAATCGAAAATCAGAAGCCCTGGAGTTAGGAGGCAGGAACCTAATTGAGGGTTTCAGATGGTTTCCAAATAACAACAACAACTTGGATTTATATAGTGCCCTTCACAAGGGGCTAGGGTCTCGGAGCACTTGATATAACAACAGATAACTCGGATGGATCATGAAAGCGTCCATCCTAATAATAACTCCTCTCTCTCTCGCACAGTGTCTTTGGGATCCGAGCTGGAAACAGCTATTTGGTGCAGATTGTCCATGCACAAAGTGTGCTTGATTGACAGAGAGTATTAATGAGCATTTGTTAAGTCATTACGACAGGTCTACGGAGAACGAAAACGACAGCAGATTGCCAGGGAATTCCCAGGCACAGAGCACAATAGAACCATCTCGCAACCATTCCAACAACAAGAAACATTCTGCCTTTAGCTTCAAGAGAACCTGAAGATTCGTGTCTGTGCCCGTTGAAAGTCTAGAGAAACGGGAACAGACACGACGAGCTGGATGCCATCCTGTGCTTCCCGGAGTGCTTGACAGTGGTGGAGTCTGACTCCCAGCCAGGGGGAGAGGGAGGGGGCAGAGGTGACCGTAAGCACGCTCAAAAAGGAAGGTCTTTTAAGGCGGGATTTGAAGGTGGGGAGGGAGGGGACAAGGCGGAGAGATTGGGGGAGAGAGTTTCAGGGCGTAGTGGCTGAAGGCACGGCCACAGATGGTGGAGCGCTGGACACGGTGGACAAACAGGAGGCCGGAGCCAGCCGAGAGGAGGCAGCGCTTGGTGGAGTGGGTGAGGTTTTGGAAAAGGCATCATTTCCCCCTATTTCCAGTGGGAATATTGTACAATGAACAGCAACAAATTACATGTGTATAGAGTGTTTCAGACGATGGGTTTGGACCTGAGCTGGGGGATGGGATTAGGAGAGGTGGGGGGTGGAAATGCTCCATCGAGGATGGTAGGAAACCCTGAAATCCCAAACTGGGAAAAGTGGGGGAAAGAAAAGGGAAAGGAAAGCGAGACTTGCGCTTTCTGGACTTAAAAGTTTCAGCCACACAGTCTATCAAAGTATTAAAGCTGTGGGTGCCATTGTGGAGCCAACGGAGGCTCGGAGTAGAGCTTCAAAGGAAACATTAGTAGCTTTGAAATCCAGTCGAATGAAATCTTGATACTTTGAGATGCTCTTTCAGTCCCAGATGAAGGTCTGTCACTTCCTTAATCAGAGCAGAGGAAAACGCACTGAGCTGAATTAATGGAGTGAGTGACTGTTACAGGCCAGGCCTTGTACAAGTCGCTTCTCTGCTGCTCGAGGTGGAAGCACTCAGTGGGTTAGATGTCCCAAGACCCTCCTCTTCGGCCGTGCCTTCGGTCACCCTCCCACCCCTACCCTCCACGCTCTCCACCGTTCCTGATCCCAACCACCAGCTCGGGTGCAGATCCCTGACTGTCCAGCGCCTTGGGATGTCCTCCTGACGTGAAAGACAATGTTTTTGGCCACAAGAGCTTGGTTTCTGGCGAGGAAACCCGGATCGGCTTACGGTTAAGCTCATGTCTCTGAACCCACGGGCGTGAGGTAAACCCCAAACCACTGAAGGCCTCCGATGGCAACCGGGTGGGTAACCTAACCAAGACCGACCGGAAAATCGGGGATTCCCATCCCGGACCATGTGGAGCTTGTTGATTTAGCTCAGGTGGTAATTGTAAAGGAACAACTATATAATAATAATCCTTGAATTTGATGCAGTGTCTTATCACGTCTTCGAGACGCCTCAAAGCGCTTCACAGAATATACTGTAAAGTGAATCGACTGTACATTTTGTGGGCGAAAGGCGGCAGCCAATTGTGCACAGCAGCGTGGAGTAAGAAAACTCGCCTGAGGTTTCGCCCCGCCCGGGAATCGAACCCGGATCCTCTCGCTTGCGAGGCGAGTGCTCTAACCACTGCACTACGGGACTCCACATAACCATAAATAAGAAGCTGAATTACACCAGCGCCTCCCTCCCTCCCTCCATGCAGTTGAAGGGCAGCGTTGGGCTGTACCCTTGGCCTTGGAGCGGGTCAGTTTCTCAACCTCTCTGTGTTGGGTATGACAACGCAACAGTGCTTGAGAGGGAGGAGTGGCGTTAACCTGAATGGCAGCAGTGCCAATAGACCCGCACTATGGCTGTTGCGCAATAGGATGTTCTTGAAGCAAAAGATCAGGAGCTCACATCAGGGCTCTAATGGATCAGCTAATCAATATCAGGAAACGGTGTGGGTACCATTAATTCCTCATTACTGCATTAGAAAAGCAACATAGCACTGCCAGGGAATAAATCAATGCGCTGTTAGAGGCAGTGACGAAGGGCAGATCCAAAACGAAAAATAAGTTGGACGGGGTGGGAGGGAGCAACAGAAATGTATAGATTGAAAATGCCTGGAACTAGACAAACACTTGCCAAGTTGTGTGGAGCTGCTGTTAGAAGCCCGGGCTAGCCACAACCGTTCCTCCCACTGTGCCGCAAGAGGCGATCCTGTCCTCGAGGATAGCTAGAACGTAGAGACTGATTGCTACAACAACAACTCGCATTGATATAGTGTCCCTCACACAGGGTAAAAACCCAGATTACTATCCGGGGGCAAAACACAGGTTGCAAACGCGAGTTCAACAGTCACGGCGCTGCTTTTCATGGGTCGGCCGCGGGTGCCGTGACCACACGTG